AAGCACTAACTGTGACAGGATTTAGCACTGAAGTGAATAATGCTTCCAATTTATACTATGAGACCAGACTGAGATTAGATTCCCTTAAATGAAGAACATGCAGAATACTATTTCGACCATGAGCTCGCTCAAAAAAAAACTTCTTATTGGAGATGGTATGCCGGGCGGCAGGTGAGCAGGACGCAATCGGCATCTGTGTGGACTCCTCGGGCTCCATCAACAACACTCCCGGATTTTGCTGGTCTCGACCTCCTCAGGCAAATTTGAATAGTTGTGGTGCAATCGTCTTGTCGGGTTAAAAATGATAAAATAACTGGCGAGCTGCAAAAACTCAGCTCTCGTTACAAGTTCTAAACGAGGACCAGCTAGCAGTGCCGTTGTGGAGAAACAGAAAAACCAGGAGGAACTGGTTGTAGCGCATGGCTGCCGTACCATCACGTCTCATTTACTGCGCAGTGAATCGCATCCTGCCCATGTCCAGCGAGGTGTATCGAGGAAACTGTCCAAGAAAGAGCGCCTCTCTCCGTGACTGGTTCGGTCTGTGAACTCTTTGGAATGAGGAATTCATCTTTCTCCTCAGTAAACTGAGAGACGCCAGGAATCGAGGTCACAAATGAATCAGGCACTATCAGCATGTCCCATTGGGCTGAATGATCACGACCACGCAAAGCCAGGAACAACAGGCACGCCAAGAACAGCCTCTCAAATCCACTTTTTTTTTGTGTGTGTGTGCCTGTCCGCCATCATACACACGGACGCACACATACACACATGAGCGCACATACACATGCACACAAACACACACCGGCTGCTACTGCTCGTCGAAAGCACATCCTGAATGCATCGGAATGCACTTCCAGCAGCGCGCTTTTCAATACATTCTTGTGTCCATGCCCTCCCACACACACGCGCACACCCCACAAATCGCATTACTGCGGGCACCAATTTATGTAATATTGCAAGCAAAGCCCTTTTCAGACTCCCAATTTCGGGCTCTTCTTCTAGGCGCCATGAGATCTCCTTTTCTAGCCAAGCACACTTCTAACAACTGCCACTCGAGACCACAATCAGCATCAGCACGTAAACAACGATTCAGCAAGCAACGCTGCTGCGGAGCATGCCATGCACGTTGCGCATCGACGCAGTAACGGCCATCAGGTATCAAATCGAGCATGTGACAAGAACGACAGGAAACAGATCGCAGATCCACCAACTCGCACGAGCAGAAGATCAGCACGCTTTCAATATCGATGAGGCGCACTACTGAGGCATCAAGCAAAAGGCACAAATTATAAAGCAAGAGCTGCTGAAAAGCCGAGAATTTCCAACAGGAACGCATACGATGCCAGCAACATACGTGAATTATGATGAGAGCATTCTCTGACAGGGAATGGCGCGCTTAAGCATTCTCGCAGTTCACTGTATTTAGTTGACAGACACGCCTGTGCAATCAAAAGCCACCCATTTTGTGTTTAGTTAGAACAACAAAATGTATTTGGATCTGAGGTCTCTAAGTTCAAATGAAAAAAGCCGTAGTTTGTAACTTCCCAGTTCACACAGCTATCGAGTTCAATATCATCCGAAAATCTCTCTCTCGCAATATATACATACACACATACATATAAACATACATACATACATACACACATACATACATACATACATACATACATACATACATACATACATACATACATATATATACATACATATACATATACATATATATACATACATGTAAATATGTATAATGTGTACATATATATGTAGACACAAATGCATAAGTATAAATATACAAATACACGCTTATGTTTATATTTTATACACTTACATTTATATTTACATGTTTATATTTCTTATATTTTGTTTATTATTTGTATTTTTCTATATTTATATGTTTAAATCTCCTATATTTTTTCTTATGCTTATATTTATATACTTTATCAATAAGTTATTACGCGTTTTTGCGTATATGCAAGTGCAATAACGCATATGGTGACGACCCGTGATGTGTGTATGTGTGTGTGTATGTGTGTGTGGTGTGTGTGTGT